GGTCCAGTTAGTCTCATAAGGGTGTTCTGTGGTTCCATGCAGTTTCCTGTTATCCTTGGTGTCTTAAATAACCCTCTAGCATCAGCAAACTTTCAAGTCACTAAAACTGATGTCTTGATCTTAAGCAATAAAACAAATGCACTACTTGCTCTGGGCTTCTGGAATCCTGTGGTTAATGGATTGTGTTTTTGGAATTATTGAGCAAGAGATACCGTTTCAGAGTGCTTGTGCAGCTTGCAGGCTGAAAGTTAGAGCTGTGGGTATTGTGAATGTAGAGAACTCGGTCTCCTACTATGTAACTTGTTTCATATCCCAGACGTTAAGTTGTTGGTGACTATGCTGTCTTGCCTGCAGAGACTTGGGAAGTTCTGAATCTGTGTTTTACCGAGGGTTGAAGAGGCTGTATTTCATAATCTTTCCTTCACAGTTCTGCCTTTTGGGACTGTGTAAGTGACCTAAAAATGTCAATCCTTAATTATTTGGGCAAAAGTTGTCAGTGTAAATATATCAAAACCAAAGAACTTTTTCAAATAGAGAGTGAAAGTGTAATGACTCCATTGCTCTTAGATGTGAATATTTCTATTTTCCTCTGTATTTCGGGTATTTGATGTTTCAAAAATGCTCAGTATTCTCAAATTTGAGAGATCAGTTGTTTCTATTTTTCTGGAACTCTGAAAGATAATTCTAAGATTGTTTATAATTTTCTTAATAATTCACAATTTTTAAATACATAAAACTGCTTAATACCTCTCAATACTTTGTATTTTCAGCCAAAGACAAAAGGCTAATGCCTTCTTTGCTGCTTTCCCCTCTCTCACCTTACAGGAAAAGGAAACTATTTTTTGTTCTCCTATAGTTGAGCCTTACTTTTGTGACAGCAATATTAGCATAAATAAGCATATTAAATAATGGATGAGATTAAAATAATCACAGTAAGAAATCATACCCTCCCCTTCAGTTTTCAGGTTTCTAAAGAATACGTAAGAGTAACCCTGAAAGCATTTCATGTTGGCTGGGTGGATGTGTCCTATCAGTTTACAGTAAAGAGCAGAGCCGTGCTATTGGACAAAACACTTTTAAATTATTATTTATGGAGCTGTATTTGCCATTGGTATAAAATGCAGGACTGGTTTCACATGCCTCCACCAGAGCAACGAGAGCACGCTCCTGAACAAGATTCCCTTTTGTTTCCTGTACTATGTGTGCTATGGAAAGAGAGACGTCTGGGAAAGGATACAGGTTAGAGTGAATAGTTACATTTGAGTTTAGGAATGCAGTCTTTCAATCTGATATTTTGGGCTTGTTTTGGCATTTTTCCATTCTGATTAATTTTATAATTGATGCTGTGGTGCTAGCATTAATCAAGTGTTTTCCAGTAACGTCTTACGTCTGTTGATAGATGAGTATTTTGTTTAGAAATATGATATGAGGGACCTCCAGAAGTCTCTCTTGGCTCTCTCATGGAGTTAAACTCTTAATTCCACTGCAACTTTTTAGTGTTAAGCTTCTACTTCACTCTTTTTTATTTTTTTGACTCCTTTTTTTTTTTCCTTCCTTCTTCTTTGGAGGTGGGAAGAACTGTGTGTAAAGGGAAAGGAAGTCTTCAGTAATTCCTTCTTTTTCCCTAGGGCAAAGTATTAACTACAGTTTTATATGCAGTATTTGCTTTTTGAAACAATAGCAAAATAATATTTTAGCTCTCATTTGAATTATTAGTATTTTGTGTTAATCTTCAGAAAGCTTCATTTGGCTAGTAAGCATTTTACTACTTATTTTAAAATTTAGTGTTTGGCAGAGATGAATTTATTGTTAGTTCCTAATACTGTGTCTTCCTAAGGAATGTGCTGTTCTTCTTAAGAAACATAAAGGTAGTCTTTATCTGTGATATCTGCCTTTTGAGAAACTGGGTGAAGTAGGGCTTTTTCCACTTACAATTCAACATTATTAACATCTTCTGTTTTCAGTGCTGAAACCTCATGCTTTTTTTCCTTCCTGGAGAAGGCAGGAGGGGACAAATTGGCACTGAGAGGTCATAAATTCACTTTAAGAGCCTGACTGAGCAGCTACTTTTACAACCTTTAATGCTAATTACTGTCTTGTCATTGTTTTAAGTTGTTGGGCTCATTTGTGTCTTTTCCTCAGTTTTTAAACTGAGTTTCTACACATTCTTCTTTCAGTAAGAATGTAACTCCTAGAGTGTAGTTTCTCTGGAAGGAAAACAGGAGCAGCGGTACCTAACCCTCCCTGTCCTCGAAGTATCTTTGAAGTTTCTACCTTTGAGTTTCACTATATCACAAGTAATGTTTTTCTATGTCAAATCCAAGGATGTTTTAAAGTAATACTGTGATGAAAGGTGAGGATTATACTTAGTTACTTTATTTAGTTTCACTTATTTGCATCACTTTGCTATGCAGTGGCTGTTCTTGAAGCAAACACTGTTGCATGTTTTCCGGAATGCTTCTAAAACATGCATTTAAAAAAAAATCCATTGTAGATGAGAAACACTTGACTTTACACAGTCTTTTGTCACTGATGTCCTCTGGGATATATTGTACTGCAAAAGCTAAGGTTAGCCTGAATTTCTTTTTGAGATTATACGTCCAGTGGGTTATGTTGCTGTAATACTTGCTGCAATAAGCAGTTCCAAATATATTGATCTTCTACTGTGCATGCAAAGATCATGTGTGCAATGTGTATCTGGCATGTTCCAAGATGTGTCAGACTTGATGAATGTGCTCTGTAGACTTGATAAATGTGTATTGCAAATGACTGTTGCTGGATGTTTGCAGGCCAGCTGGAGCTACTGCTTCATCTAGATTGCCAGACAAGGTTGTCAAGCTCTGCCCAGATGTATGATAGTCAGACTGTTGCCAGTACAATGACTTTTAATATAGCACTGATTTTCTAGCTCTATGAGCTGTCAAAAATCTATGGTTCTCATTTACTGGATTTGCTGCAAAAGCATAGTTTTTTTCTTTGAGATGATTTTGTAAATGCAGTCAGCTTCACAACAAGCTGTGCACTGAAAATTCATTTGATTATTTCTCAAGCATGCTATGGGCAACTTTTATTATGCAATCTGTAGAACATCAAAATATCATTCAATAGTAATGATGCCAGTTTTACTAAACAACTCTATTCTCTTAGTTTTCAATTGAATAAGATCAAAAGCACAAGTGTTCAACTCATAAACATGAAAAAGGCAAGAAATGTAAGTGTGGCAACTTGGTCCTACCTGTAAATATTAACATCTGCTTCTGGAATCTAGTAGGCAGTTGTACCACTTAAAATTATGTGTGTATAGCAAACATATTACCTTCATGGGGCTTTTCTGGTTTGGGTTTTGGTTTTCTTAGGAGTGTCTCATTTCAAATTATCTCTCAGTTATTTAATCTGCTGTGAAGGCGTTCTGATTACTAGTAGCCATATGGCAGGGCCAGTGCATTTTTGAGATTCTGATGATGAAACTGCAACAGCAAACAAAGTTTTCTGTGTCTGTTCATGCCAGCTTTCAGAGCTAAAGGGAATCTGGAAGCTATAAACAAATATTTTCAGTGTCTTAAAATGAAACTTCCTGTTGCTTCTGTTAACAGCTCTTAGGGGTCTGAGGATGCAAAACTCCTGGAATTTTACTGACTTGGATAAAAGTCAGATTTGAAATATGCTTGTGTGCAGCTGAGGTGCTGATGGGGAGGAAGGAGTGTGTGTTAGTGTACGGTGTTAATTTCATTAGCTGAAATGAATTAGTGCTCCTGATCACTGTGTTTTTGTATAGCACATCTCATGCACTCAATCATCAGTCTGCTTTTACGTGCCTTTGAAATGCTTCACTTTTTAAAGATGGAGTCAGCTAGATGTGTTTCGTGTTTCTAGTCAGCCACAGGATATTGGGCTCAGATAAACCTGATCGCTTAGTTCCACCCAGGATCTGTAAGACTGAAAGGGGAGTGGAAGTTTCCTCCTCTTAATCTTCCATCCTGTGCCTCTGACTCAGGGGAGACAAAGAAAACAGCTGCCAGCTATCCCACTCTTGCAAGAGGGAAGAAGGTCCTGATGTGACTAGTCCTTCTGGTAGTCCATGCTGCGGGTTATGGCAGTTGGCCAGTCTTCCCTTTCTTAGGTTGTCTTCCAGAATTCTCAGTTCATGTGATAACGGCCGCGTTTGGGTCTACTGCAGTTGCTCCTGGTTTGACTAAAGTCAGCTTTGTTTTCTGGGGTTTTGTTTATTTGCTCGTGGTTGGGATGACAATATTTAGAGTCCTGTGCTGTTTGAGAAAACCTGAAGGCAAAGTAAAGATGCCGAAGTGTGCTGGCTGTGGAATGTGGTGTGTTACTGTATTACTTCTGGTTTCTTCTCAGACATAATCCTCGTAATCATATAACTAGTATTAAATTTTATAAAACCCCATGTATTTATTAACATGACTTTTAATAAAAATGGCTTCAAGGAATCTGAGTTTTTCAACTTCTTTTAATTTTTATAGAATAGTTTTTTTTCTCTGCAACTGCTGTTACTCTCTCAGTACTTTAGTTACCAAGCTGGTGGTAACCTTTTCTCAGATCCAGTGTTGTTGATAGTCAGGCTGTTGCCTGAATACTCCCACGGTATTTTCCTTCCCACAGTCAGAAATAAAGAACATTGCTGCCCTAATAAGCCTTTCTTTTGCCGGTTAACAAGTGAACTTGGCAACATGGGTCACTTATAAAATATCTTCGGTTCAGTGCTATTTGTGGAAAGAGAACTGAAAAAAAAATTATAATTTGGAGTGGAGCTGTAAAAAGTGCTTAGTTCTTGGTAAAAATTCCTTTAAAAAAAAACCAAAACCAAACACCAAAACAAAAACCATTGGTCAGTCACATGCATTCTCTTTGGCTCTAATTTGTGGTCTTTAGTGCTATTCTGGACTTCTGGTCTCAAATAGAGCATTATAAAAAAAAGACATTGCTGTTCATTTGTATTTTATATTTAAAATTTCTTTCTTTCTGCTTGTAGATTTGTTTGTAAATGCATCATAAACAGACAGCCCAGAATGAAGAAAGCAAGCAGGAGTGTTGGCTCAATGCCCAAAGTGCCTGGAGTAAATAAAACTCAAACAACTGAAAAAGCCAAACCAGAAAGTGGCTCCTCAGTGTCTGCAGTAACAAAACTCTCCAAAACTGGGACATCAGCATCTCTTTTGAAGGTAATAACTGATAGAATGTTCTGATTATTTGCATTTTTTTACAATAAAGCTTTAAAAAGAGTAGAATTTTAAGGCATATCTTTAATGCAATTTAGACTAGAGGGTGTTATAGGGGTAATTGAAGGGAATTTGGATAGTTAACACAGCACTGGCCAGGGTAATAGGATCTTGCGTGGCATTCATGCTGTATTTTTCATATTGCAATGTGTGATGTGATGGAAAGCAATATACTTTGCAGAACTTGGCTGTTCTGCAAAAGGAGCGGAGTGCAAGTTGTGTTCTGATGACTGTTATTAGTAGTGTCGTGTGTTATGCTTGAATGGTGTGTCAGTGACTAATGGGATTTGATGAGAGCTATTTACGAATTCTGGAAAAAGAACTAATGAGGTATCTAAAAGGAGAAACTTTTTGATATCAGTGATCCGTGTCAGGTCAGTGCAGCTGCATTCTTCTTGCTGTTTTGGCCTTTGCTTTGTGTGAAGTACTGCTTGAGCTGAATTTTCACAAGTCGATTCTTGCTCCTAGAACAAGTTCAAAGCTTTTCTCTTGTATTAGCAAAACAGGGCAGTAGATTTAGGAGCATGTGGTTTGCAACAACCAAGAAAAATGAGGCATACTGAGATGTGCTGGTGTGGAGTTTTCAGCTGGGAGTGAACACGTCTGGGTTAGACGGATGGTATGTGCCTGCCTGGTCTGCCTCCCCCTCCTGGCATGGAAACACAGCTGGACCCACCTCCTCCGCCTTTCTGCAGCCCGGTGTGCAGAGCTGTGGCACTGCTGCTGCTGCCCTGGAGCAAATGAACAGAACAAGGAGAAGGGCTGGTGTCTGCAACTGGGACCTGAACCACTGTCACCTACAGGAAACCAGATAGGCCATTTAAATAACTGGCAAACAAAGACCTAAAATTAAAGAAATGGTAAGGGTTGAGGTCTCTCTGTAATAGCTATGCAGGGTTACTGAAGTCAAAAGGTGTGTTCCCTTCCTTTCTTTTCTTCTTGGTTTTCTTTTCTGGAAGAATGGTTAATACTTTTGCTGAGGAACTTGCAAGCCAGGTTGCAGCTAGATTTTCTGCCAGTGCCCCCAGTTCCTCTGCCACCCAACATACTTGCAGTTTTCTTATCTTTAAATAATCTTTTGATGCTTGTTGGCACTACTTATTTTGTATTTCTAGAAACCTCTCAAAGAACATGGAAACAAAAGTCCCTAGTAGTTTACTTACGGAGTTTCTTATGTCATACCTCTCAGTGAGATAAAGGAGGAAGGTGATCTAACACTGAAGAAATTTGACTCAGTATGCTTTCACAATTTTACTTATATTAGCAACACTTCTGGCTATGTTTGGGTGTAGGATTAGAATTTATGACGATTGTATGTTTGAGGCACAATGATAATTTTTCTCTTAATTACTAAGACTTGTTTCAGCTTTATGTTACAGCCAGGCTTACTCACACAGGTGGATGTCTTTTACTTGTTAAGCTGCTGTTGTGCCAACTATGTGACTTAATGATAACTCTTATCTTCTTTGAGTGTTCCATACTTATACAACAAAGTTAACTTGTATTTTTTTGTCTACTGATACTGGCAAATCACATTTATAATTACTGGCTTGAAACACATGTCAATAGCAAGTTCTATTATTTTAAAAATGATTTTTCTATAGTTTTATATTTGATCTTGTTGAAGCATTTGGCAGATTATTTTCCTCATAGACTTGGTGAATTAGTGTGTATATTATGAATTTAAATTAATATTCCTTGACAAAAAAAAAGCTAGCATTAAATAACTTTAATTATTAAATAATAATTGCAACAGCTTACAGATTTATTCAGTCCTCAAAGTAGGTGTGCATGTAGATACAGAAAACTTTGAGTTAATATTGAAGGAAAGGCCACTGTTAAGGAGTAGAAATACACATTTACAGTACTATGCCAGTCTTAATTCAGTCAGTAATAATGTTGCAAAACTGAAAATTGCTTTGTAATTATAGTCTGGTTTTTTTTCCCTATACACTTCGTGATATAACCATAGTTCGATGCTCAGTTTTAGATGGGATTTCCTTACACATTGTTCCATAGATTTGCCCTTTTTTGTGGAGTTTTCAAAGTATGGACAATGAGCACAGGAAGAAACTGTGAGATGAACACTATTCTAGAGGTCGGTCTGTCTGTCTGCTTCAGAATGCCTTTTTGTCAGTTACTTTTTTGTAGGTTTTTGGCTCCTACTTTGCCCAGGACTTTTATAAATGTTCAGCACA